GCACGAGGCCTGCGTTTGCACCAACACCGACATGATGTAAGGTCCCTTGTGTTATTTCTGATGCATGCATGACACATCAAAATGAAGGAGCTGACACTATGGAGGAAATATTCCCATTAGTCATGAATCAAAACACAGATTTAATTTAACGTCTGAAAAGAATAAATTAACAATACAAGCTACAACAGCAACACATTGGTGTATTTTATTGTAAATTTCCTCACAATACATGAGGCGTAATTACATTTCACGGGGATGTATAAAATATTTTAAAAGCAGATTTGAATACATGCACGCTCAGAGAAGGAATCGTCAAAACTTTGTCTCAATTTGTGTGAGAGCAGCACAAACACCTCAAGTTATTCTAGACATTTTCTTAATATTTCGACTAAATAAAATTTCACAGACGCCCATTTAAAATAAAGCAGCATTTTGCATTTTTCTTTCATCGGGGTTAAAAGAATAAAAAGGCCATTTTAAGGCCTCGTGTGTGATACACTTCTGCAGAATCGAGGAAAGGACATGGCACACTATCCCTGAAATGGAGGGGTGGGAAAAAAATGACTGTGACACAATATCACCACAATACTCTATATTTTTCTTTAAAGAACAAAAAGTTTTTTCAACATCCAGAACGATAGTTGTCAGACTCGTTGAGAGAAGAGAACATCTGCAGTGTGTAGTTTTCCTACCCGCGCGGAGACGCACTGCATTTCCGTGCGTCTGGATCAATCCATGCGGCCTTGCTGGGCAGCCTGCTGGGAATTTCACCTGTCCTGACGCGGGTTCACCAGTCCTCCCAGTTCACTCCGGTGTCGGGCTCCTCCTGGATTTCCACCTGGAAAGGCGAACGGGGCCGTGCGCTGCATACACCTCCCCAAATTATAAGGACGCGCAACGAGTGGCATTCGTGCCCAACAAGCCTCCTTCTCCACAACCATCTCACCGTCCCTCTCCAGAGCAGCCCGGGACCCGCCCTGCCTCGCTCTGATTGGACGGGACCCTGGAAAGTCGTGCGACGATTGGACGCTGGCCGTGGGGCGTCGATTTGGTGCACGGCGATGGTAGCCTATATGCGTGCATGCGCGGAACTTGGCCGTGCGCGTATAGTGAGCTTGGATGTGATCTTGTGTTGTTGTCATTAGCGTGGAGATCACGGATCAAGCTGATGGAAAAAAAAAAAAAATCTGCGTTAAACAACATGACAGGAGAAATATTCTGCAGCTGAGAGTAGAAATCAAACCTCTACAGACCTGCAGTTAGAGGTCGTTTAAAGAAATGCTCAGAAGAAAACGAAACCATCAGTGGATAAAGGTCTAAGAGAAAAGAAAATGTAATCAGTTTAATGCCAATTTCATGCGTAAAATCAAAGTTTTTTCTATTAAATCTAAAAAGGTGAAATTGTTTGTATTCCAATGGAAATTATGAAGTTAATTCAGAAATAGTATATTTTCTGTACTCGCTAAATGCCCTCACACAATTCAAAACAATCTTAGAAATAATAAAACAGTAACAGAAACAGAACCACTAAATAAATAAGCGTGTCAGTGTTGTGGGAAATAAAAATATCTGTTAATGCTCTGCTCGTTCTGCTGCTGTTAGTTTGGCTAAATAGGCCTGAAATCCTCCTCCTCGCCTCTCATCTCTGAGTGTGTGTTTCTGGTCAGACTGTGCACACGCTGACCAAAAAACATGGAGCCCTCCACCTGTTTTTACTGGTTACACCACATGTTCCACTTGTTTTCATGGTGCTGCATGAACCTCCTCTGGATTTAAAAAGGCGTTTGTTGCTGAGAGGAATCAGATCTGAAGTGGACCCTCTGCATTCTGTCTTAAACTTTACATTTGAAATTGATCTTGAGGGTTTTTTGTGTGTGTTAATATTTGTAGTTTAGCCTCTTGGCAAATTTAGTCTCCACTCGTGTGTTTGTTAGTTTTTAAATCTTAGCTATTTCTAAAGGTGCTTATGGCTTTCCTTTGTTTTTGTGTTTTCTTTTAATCCAAACGCAGAGCAGTTTTGTTCCGGCTGAGAGAGCAGCCATGCACCGCTCCGGTCATCCAGCGCTCCTGCACCAGTTTGGTTCGGTGTCCGTCCGTCAAACGCGTTTATCTCAGGATTAATTTCCATGGTGTGAATCAAATGAGAGCGCCGCGGTGCATGTAGTTTTTTAATTAGACACCAGGCGCTCAGGTGGAGGAGGGGGCGCGTGTGTGGAGGGTGAGGGGCCGAGCAGCGGGCGCGGTGACGGGGGCGCGGACGCATGATGGTGAGCTCATTGCGCACGTAATTAGTCCATAAATTGATGCTGCATCCCGCTATAATTGGAGATTCTCCTGCTGCCTGGGAACAGATTTCTCTCTCTGTCCTCCTCTGTGTGTGTGTTTGTGTGTTTGTGTGTGATCCAGGTATTACTGGCCTTGTAGGGACAAAAAGCAAGTAGCCATAATGTAAAGAAAAAATTACAGTTTAAGTTAAAGACATTTTTATAGGTGAGTTTATGTTTTGTTTTGGTTAGGGAAAGGTAAAGGTTAAGATTAGGCATAGGTTAAAGTTAGGCGTAGGTTAAACTTTTAGATTAGGGTTACATTAAGACTAAGATTAGGTTTAGGGTTT